GATCCAGATAAGGAAACTAATATGGATTTATATGGTTCTATATGTCCTATATGGAACGACCTGGTTTACACTTTGGAATCTATATGGTTTAATATGGAATTTCATTTTAAAATGTACAACTTAGGGATTTTTATATGGATTTATCTGGTTTCTGTTTTATGTGTCTTTCCATATAGGATTCCCTATATGGTTGAATATGGAATTCCATTTTAAAATGTATATATATTTAAACGAAAATTGCATATTAAACCATATAGATTCCCCTATATGGTTAAATATGGATCTATATGGTAATAATTTTTTTCACACCCAAACCATATTGGGCCAGATAGAGCAATATGAACCTATATGGCAATCCATATAGAAATCACTTTTCTATATGGTTTTCCAGGTATGGAATTCTATCTGGTTCAATAGTGCAATGCCTGTTTAAAATTCCTATATTGAACCAGATAGATTTTTATTTTGTGTTTCCATATGGCATTTTTAATAGGGCTATTAAAAATGCCCTATAGAACCCATATTGATCCAGATAAGGAAACTAATATGGATTTATATGGTTCTATATGTCCCATATGGAACGACCTGGTTTACACTTTGGAATCTATATGGTTTAATATGAAATTTCATTTTAAAATGTACAACTTAGGGATTTTTTTATGGATTTATCTGGTTTCTGTTTTATGTGTCTTTCCATATAGTTTTCCCTATATGGTTGAATATGGAATTCCATTTTAAAATGTATATGTATTTAAACGAAAATTGCATATGTAACGAGACTCAGGGTTGGGGTAGGCGTCTAAGCCACGAAAACACTTCTCCGGGATGTACAGGATTTATTTTCAGCGTTAAAACGCTTAGTATGGTATAAGATACAGCTAAAACATTTACAACTATAAATACTGAAATACAAATATAATATTTTCATTACCTAAGCCCAGGCCAATTTATATAGTTATCACTAATTATATCAAAGGGAGCCGTCTTGGTGCTCAACTATATCTGTCAAAATACGGTGTTGAAATGGCCGATGTCACCTTGGTGGAACCAAGAGGTCAAGGCTAGGTGCGCTCGGTTGCATATCAAAGTACAGCGCTAATAATTATTATATTTAATAATTACTATATCTAATTCTACCGTTTCACATATTAAACCATATAGATTCCCCTATATGGTTAAATATGGATCTATATGGTAATAATTTTTTCATACCCAAACCATATTGGGCCATATAGAGCTCCAATATGGTTCAATCTGAACCTATATGGCAATCCACAGACCTGTGGCAATCCATATAGAAATCACTTTTCTATATGGTTTTCCATGTATGGAATTCTATCTGGTTCAATAGTGCATTGCCTGTTTCAAATTCCTATATTGAACCATATAGATTTTTATTTTGTGTTTCTATATGGCATTTTTAATAGGGAGGGAGTCCACTCGCTCCCAGCTTAACATTATTACTTTTAAAACAAATTTCAAACTTATATTATGTCATATACGTTTAAAAATATTATTTAATAGTGTTTTACAACCTGGTAACGGACTTTGTATAATAAAAAATGTATTAAAGGAAATAATATATTAGGTTTAAGTACAAAACAGTAAATTAAATGTTTAACAAATTTTGAAGTTAAGTACAAATGAATGTACGGTCGTATTCATAAAAAAGCCTTAGAATGAGAAAAAACTGTCACTAAAATTGAGTAAAACCGGCTTTGCACTGACTTAGGTCAGTAGAATATAAATTCACATACGGTGTAACTTTTGCTGTGTAATGCGTGCTTTGCAGACCAGCGCATTCTTTAATTTTCTGTGGTGAGATCCAAAAGGTTCTTTGAATTTGAGGTTAGGTCATCTGTCAAATTAATATTTTCTTTAATAAGATTTACCCATTTTTTCCAGAATTTTATTGAAAGCTTGGCAAATGTTTCGTTTTTGTTTCCTTTCGAAATATTATGCCGCTTAAATTTAAGTTCCATTTTCGAAATCGCAATCAAAAAATATTATGATAGTTTTGTGTGGCTGTCATCAAATTTTAAAATTGAATGAGATACCAACTTTGTGAAAAAAACAAACGCGTTAATTGTAATTGTAGCCAAGGGTTTGGGTTACCATTCTTGAATTGATTATGTTATAGGTTATTCAAAATTCAAGGCATTGACGTCGGAAGTTAATTAAATAAAATTATTCACATTCAACAAAATAACTTTAAAAAAATCTATGATTATTATAATATCATTATGATATTTAGTCATGCATCCCTGTTTTTTAATCACTTGAGCCAATCTATTTGGGATTTACTGAATTATATTTAATACAATATTTGGATCAATATGTTCCCAGCAAAAATGTATTGTTTTCAATAAATCCTCAGAATTTTGTGACCGGTAATTTCGTTTATGATAATTATATCCCAAATATTTTTGTTTGGATTGATATCGGCACAAGAAGAGGCATGGGGTAGCACTTCTACATTATGGGTTTTTAAATGTCAATGGTACAGACGCACACAGTCAAACTTTTAAGAAATTGTAGTTAAAACCAATAATTGTATGTTTGTTTAAGTTTAAAAATATTAAATAATAAAGAAGCTCATTTAGTTAATAGTTAATAATAAATAATGAAGCTTAGGTTTTAATCGTTATTGAATCTACGCCAGGCTTTGCATTTTTTGACAACCCATGCTGTGTGATAACCTACAATAACCAATCCTCTAAAACAGCCAGGTTTACGCAAATATGACAAAACTTATCTTTCATTCTAATACGTGTACGACTTTTTTATGAATAAGACTACTACTACTATTACTATTATTTAAAATAATTATTGGAATAAACATGTCAATGGTGTTTAAACTGACCAATATACAAAAAACTTTACTTGGTACGTATTTTTATTCTAAATGTATGTTAAATTTAATTTACCTTAATCAGCTGCAGTTCCAAGAAAAACTTTTATATTTAGTTTACATGTTGTTATTTTAAGAGTTTGTCAGTGGCGGCTGGTGGATTTTGGGCACACCCATATCTCAGTTATTAGACATGGGACCCAAATCAAATTTATATGAGTTTATAATAACATTATATAGACAAGTTCTGCGCAAGCAGAATTCAAATTGAAGTTTGCGAAAAAAGTTAGTTTTTAAGTGTGCCCCCAGCCAATATTACAATTCACTGAAGTTTATCGAAAATTTAATTCACTGAAGTTTATATCAACAAATTTCAAATTTTATTAAAAAAATTCAAGTATTACAGATTTTATACCATTTCTATTTTTTTTTAAATTTCGTAAAAGAAATAATAAAAATTTAAAATGGTATAAAACCTGTAATTCTTGAAATTTTTTAACAAAATTTGAAATTTGTCGATAAACTTCAGTGAATTAAATATTGTACTACTTTAATTTGAATTATCTTAATTTGGGGGGGCAGGAGGCTGGGGGGCACACTTAAAAACTAACTTTTTTTTCGCAGACTTCAATTTAAATTCTGCTTGCGCATAACTTGTCATTGTAAACTCATATAAATTTGATGTGGGTCCCATGTCTAATAACTGAGATATGGGTGTGCCCAAAATCCACCAGCCGCCAATGGAGTTTGTTAGTTTTTATAAAATTAAATAAACAATAAATTGAAAGTTATTAAAAAAAATTAATCGTATAAATGGAAATTACTGTACTGTGGTTAATTGATGTCAGACCAACACCCCATATCTAATTTTGTTCAATAACAGAATCAACAATTTAAATATATAAAAGGATATTTATATTTATGTTTATAAACAGGATTAATTTTAATAACAATAATAAATTTAATTTTAAATGTTATAAATATTTACTGTTATGTGAGATATTTTTGCATTTTTTTGTTTGTATGTATGACATTAAAGAAGCAAAGTTATTGCGGTTTTGGCCTATTAAATTACAAGAATACACATCTGACTATTAGCAAGATTTGGGAGCATTTTGGAAGAGTTATTCTGACTGAATAAAACTTTTATCCAACAACAAAAATATATATTCGGAATATATCACAATTTAAGCCAAGTTTATTTCAATTCTTTGCAATAAAACAGTTGAGACATATGTTTGGCTTGGATACATACAGACGGATCACTTGTTGATTGAAGGTGTAATAACTATAACAATTATAATTTTTTGCAACGCAAAAGTATGACGTGTTCGAATTGCTTCCATGCTTCCATTTTTACCTACTGACCTAGATTAATGTAGAAAACGCGTTTATGACGGTCGGCTAAGAAAATCTATATTACGTTTACAGTCGACCAGTAATAACATGTACAGTGGCAACAATGAAAGCATATCAAGCGCATTAAAAGCATTGCAAAAAAATATAATTAATAATAAATATTAAATTATAATTATTGTACCTTATGTATACAAAAAGTGCATTTTATGTATTCTACAAGTGAGACGTACGGTACGTACCTACCTGGGTTTTGATTGTGTTATTGTGATAAACTGCAATAAACTTGGCTTAAAAAACACAGACATATTTCCTAACAAATCATGCTATTAGTCTGACTTACTAAGTATTACTGAGTTTATTAAAAGAAAGTTAAGACTTTCAACTCTTATTTTTGCGTATTAAAAATTTGTCAGTCTTTCTCAAAAATGTTCACAAGGGTAACTGTAATTTTTTCTACTTATGTTTGATAAAAACTTAAATAACAATTTAGTAAATAGTCTTTAATGGAATGTAAGTTAGGAAATTCTTTGGTGAAAAATTATTCAAAACTAAAAAATGTATAAGATTATCCTTAAAATATAGTAAGAAATAAAAAAGTTGTGGTACACAACAAATAATATTTTGTATGAAATAAAACCTTGCTAACAGTAATTAATGAATAGTTAACAAAATTATTTGGGCCATTGCTTACAATGGGATTTAAACCTTACTTCCATTATGTATAAAAGACTTCAAATTTGTTCCAAAAATACCAATAATTTATTAAAGGGACATAATCATTAATACCTAATGGAAACATATTTCAATCTTTAACTTGTACTAAAACGAATATAAATAATTTATAAATAAAAAGTAATTAATTAGTTTAAGTCCCATTTTATGTAATATTTATATTTTAACCGACGATACATACTAAAAGACTTACTGGTTAAGTTCTAGTTAGTCTATCTGACAGTTAAATTTCATATCAATCGTTGTGAGAACAATGGTATCCATGAAAATTAGCTGCCAGATAACTAACTGCAACTTTAACTGGACTTTGATAAAACCAGCCCTTAGTAGCTTGGCGATGATATTATTTTTGTGTTGTAGTATTTTATGAGAAACCAGTAAAAAATTTGGTGTGTTTAATGTAAGCAACATAGAAGATAAGTCTCAGTGGATAAAAATAATAATTAAAAATGCAAAATTGTATCCTCTTTCGTGCTGCCGCTATCGTCTAATGTGGCTCCTGTTAAATCAACTATTTCGTCTTGGTCATATCTAAAACAAAAAAAATCATTACTATTTTAGTATTAATTATATTATAATATACAGTGTGTCCCCGGATTCAGTTTGAGACAGGGGCGGCTAGTGTATAAGGGCTGCAGAGCTGCAGAACTCCCAAAATTTTCTTATTACTTGACTATTTTTTTAATTATTTAATATTTAAGTGCGACAGTGTACCTATAAATATTTCAAACGCAAGGCTGCATAAAAAGTTTTTATTATAAACATTTGCCGTGTCGCCGTACTTGGCCACTACAGTCATCCAAACGACCGGTAAAGGTCTCTAACGCTTAACGCTTACAATACAACAAAGCTGGGCCACTTTCGAGTTCTGGTTCCCATTTCAATACCGTAATTTTGCCCCGCGCCGCTCTTGGCCCTGGGTTAAGATAGTGAAATTTAAGCCAAATCGGGGCTGCACCAACATACAGTTCCTACTTCCCGGTCGTTTGTTTTTCGCTTCGCGTTCACGTTTGTTATTTTATCTAGAAGACTGTTAATTCTGTGTATTTTTGTGTTTTGTGTTTGTTGTTGTATTCTTTTGTAAGAATGAATGTGGTGTATGATTTAATTATGATTTAATTAATTATCTGTAGGTACCATTTCATTAAATGCCAACTGCGCCACATTTTTTTAAACCCCACTGGCAGAACTCACAAATTTTACTGCCACGAGCCGCCACTGGTTTGAGATAGGTGTAATATACCAACAAAATATTAGTACGGTTTTCATTTTCTGCAGTCTCAGCTTGCTTGACCTAAAATGTATTTTCACCAAATAACAGTTTAAAAGGGATCTAAGTCGCTGAGTTAATCTTAAAGAAAATACATCGTTGTAGGTAAACTAATTCAACTAAAAACCTATTCAAATGGTGTCTAACCTAAAATAGGACATACTTTCACCCTTCTTCTAAGTTCTTCAAACTTATTCAAGAGATATGGCTCTGCAGTAATTTTGTTTTTTAATCTTTCCATATCATGGTTAACGTTATCTCTATAAACTCGTTGTTTTTGTTTGCCCCAAAAGTAAATATCCATAATTGTTAAATCCAGACCATACCCGGCTGTAGCCCAAATCTACCAATCCATTTTTACCCACAAATATATATATATACAAATGTATAGTTCCCAATCAAATCAAATCATTAGAATAAATAAGCATTGTTGTAGTACTCTGATGCCACACGCTGCATCAGCAACTACAAACTAGGTCAAACAGTGGTCAACAAAGAAATGCCGACACCGTTCATAATTATTAAACACAACAATTAGGTAACAATAATTTTAGAACGATTAATTGTTTAAACATCCATTTTTTATAAATAGTAAGATTTGCTTATAAAACTATTTTAACTTAATTGTTGCGTTCCATGTCGGTCACTGTTTGACCTACAGTAGAAACCGTCAATATATGAACGTGACTCATCCGACACATTCGTACGAAGCAATCTATCGAAGGTCACGGTCCAGTGCAGTCTCGTTTGTAAAAAAATTTGAGTGTAATGTTGGTTGCTATACTTATGATATATTTGCTTTTAAAGTTAAATAATTAACATCTAACATAATTAACATCTACGATAATTAAATAAAATGTAATTTTCTTAGAAACTAATTAATAAATAAACTTTTCTTTTAACTTTAATGAAATATTCTATCATCTGATTACAGAACGTACACTCGTGGCGACATCTCTGATTTTAATAACAAATTTTTAGACCGACCCAACCTCACTTTCTTCCAATTAAATTCTTAGTATAGTCTGAAACACGTTTGGAATTGCATATTCCCCTCTCGTGAAACCGTCAAACTTGTTACAGAATATACTATTCTTTTAACTGTAAACGCAAATATTTCAGAATTGGTGACAAAAAACAAAAATGTTTACGCAGGTCAGGTACAAAGTGAAAGATATTTAAATTGTGTGGATATAAAAACAACTTGCGTTAGTTTCACGAAATTTATTAAATATTGACAATTGTTTCGCTACACAGTAGCTTCTTCAGAATGTATTAAACTAATACTAGTACAAAATTTATATGTAGGTATAATAAAAATATTTTTGTATTCTAGCCTAGAATTTCTAGGTAAGGATTTTTATACGACATCTACCTGTGTTACATAATATAAACCACTGCCACTACAACGTTTAAAACGATTATTAATCCGTAAACACACAGTAGAAACAAGATATGCAAAAACAAAGATCATATGACATATAAAAACAAATGGCCGACGGTAAAGTTGGTTGCCTTACTATGTAATAAAATAAAATAAATTCCTAAAACACGAACTCTACTGACTTCCAATAAAATTAAGTAACAAGCTAGGACACAAGCGTCATATGTCCATCTTTGTCCAACACCTAGGCAGTTTTACATCACAGATGGCGCATTTTAGACCGGATGCTTAAAAACCTACGTGTGAGTACATTTACCGCTGCATCGAATGTACAAGACAAGTAAAACATTACTGCTAGCATGTCTGAGATATGTTCGGCACCCGATGAGTCACGTTCATATATTGACGGTTTCTACTGTAGTTTGTAGTTGCTGATGCAGCGTGTTGCATCAGAGTACTACAACAATGCTTGTATAATATAATGATTAAACAAGCCAAATTCATTTCATCAAGGTAATTTTGTAAATAATTTGCAATATCCCGGGGATATATATATATAAATATATATGATTATAATATATATATTATTATGGTTATTAATATATATTATAATATATATATTATTACATAAAAAAATTTATGAAAATAAATTATATATATATGATTATGTATGATAATACATGAATATATATAACATAAGTTTATATAAAATTGACTTCCATATATGGTTATTTATAATTATACATGACCATATATACGGCTTCCAATTTTAAACGCATATGCGTCATATGACATTCCATGTTGTAATATATAACCATAAGTAATGTTTATAATACTTATATTATATTATACTGTTATACACAACCAGATATAAATCTATTGTGTCATTTATGTTTATATATGATTATGTATGGTCATACATATATCAATAAATGAATCTATGTACATTCATTTATATATAATTATGTATGACCATATATTATCACTCATATTTTCATAATTTTAAGATATGGCGTTAAAACTTAAAAACATATAATAAATTATTATATACAATGGTTTTCACTAAAAAACACATAAAAAAGTCAGATACCACTTTTACTACCAAGCTCTTCATATACCCAGCAAGCACAAACATTCTCAGGACGTCCTTGGACCAGCCTAAATGTCCCAGAATGGGATGATGCTATAAGGACTTCCGGAGGACGTCCATAGGTTGACCTTATCGGACATTAGATCTTTTTTAGGTCCCATTTTGGGATATCCTAGGAACGTCATTTAAGGATGTCGTTAGGACCTAATATTATCCTAATTAAAGCCTAAAATGGGCTGGTCATAGGACTAATTCCAGAGACATCCTCACAATGTCCCGTTAGGTTTTGGTAAACATGTTATAATTTTTAATTATTTTGTATGCACATTTTTCTATAAGAATATTTTATCCTAATAATTAATATACATTTTTTTACATATAATTATGATAATATTATTTTACATTAATTTTTTAAAGTTTATAAACGACTTGCTTACTATACTTTTTCTACGACGATCACAAAAATTAAATAATTTTCAACAATTATATATAAATAATTATTTATAAAATCTTACATCGACCAGTCTATTCAAACCTCACTTTTTCACTACGATAATGGGCGTTTTAAAGCTGGGAGTAGAAAAACAATGTAACATTTGTTATCTATATATATATATATTATATTATTATATATTATAACTTTATATATGACCACAAAATACAACTAGATAGCAGCCAACTTAATACGCATGCGCAGAAATCACGACTGATAATTAATAATTGTTCAAACTTCTTGTTTGTAAGGTATTAACATATTTAGAGTTTTCTAAATAATAAATAATGTAGTAAGCTTCAGTTAACCTTAAAAATTTAATTACAAACGCAATCTGTAAGTGCTCATTCATAATGGACGTAACCATAAGATGCCCGTAAGAAATACGTAAAACGTAAAGTTGAATATTAACAAAACCAGTGTGTCTGTTTATAATGAATAGCCGTAATTTTTACGTATTACGTTCGAACATAAGATCTTACGGGTGACCGTAAAAAATACGTAAAGTTGAAATCATCTCAACTTTACGGGTTTCTTATGTGTGAATTTTAGTAATTTTCATGATTTCACTAGAACATTGTTGGTAGCAATCAGGGTAGTAGCTATGCAAACAGATGACAGATCTTTTTCAAGTGTATTCTGGTGTATCCACAAAACAAACAATCTAACCCAGACCGCAAAATCACATTCCCTGCACATGTCAGGAATATTCCCAGGAATATTCCAATCGTACCAGAATATTCCCAGGAATAATCAAATGTCCGCTTTTTGGTTAACCCAGGCATCATAAAAAGAATATTCCATATATCTGCCTGCAGAAGACTCAAGGATTGTTAGGGGAATATTCCTTGATATAATTTGGGGATTATTCCCAGCCCTTATTGCCTCTTATACCCAGGAACTTAACTTAAGTATAACTTAAGTATATGTTAACGATTATTTTTAAATTTGCCGCCACACGTTATGGTGGTAACAGTATTACCATAACACTAGAGTGGTGTAGAGAAAGCTAAAATGGCATATAGCGTCCTTTTTACAGATTATGGTGTTCTTTGGTGCCTTTTGTTAGAAGAAATTTTTTTTCTGTGGCCTGAATCTCGATATCGTGTTCTCCATAAAGTGTTCTCTCTTCAAGTTAAAGCTTAAATAAAACTAGTTTGCTTGACAGGTTGTTATAATTTGGATATTTCAACAACCATTAGAAAGTTTCCGTGCTTATTAATAGTGTATTTTTAAGTTTAGGGTAGTAAGGCTATAATAATTTTTTGTTCCCATTTAAAAAAATGTTATTTTT